ATAATAGAAGTTGTTAGATATCAGATGGATAGCACGGGCTATGGTGAGCCCGTAGTGGACTTACCCGGCACAGGAGCGGGGCAAGTAGCACGGCTATGGTGAGCCCGTAGTGGACTTACCTGGCACAGGAGCGGGGCCAAGTAGCACGGGCTATGGTGATCCCCGTAGTGGACTTACCTGGCACAAGAGCGGGGCAAGTAGCGTAGCACGGGCTATAGGTGAGCCCGTCGTGGACTTACCTGGCACAGGAGCGGGGCAAGTAGCACGGGCTATGGTGAGCCCGTCGTGGACTTACCTGGCACAGGAGCGGGGCAAGTAGCACGGGCTATGGTGAGCCCGTAGTGGACTTACCTGGCACAGGAGCGGGGCAAGTAGCACGGGCTATGGTGAGCCCGTAGTGGACTTACCCGGCACAGGAGCGGGGCAAGTAGCACGGGTTATGGTGAGCCCGTAGTGGACTTACCTGGCACAGGAGCGGGGCAAGTAGCACGGGCTATGGTGATCCCGTAGTGGACTTACCTGCCACAGGAGCGGGGCAAGTAGCACGGGCTATGGCGAGCCCGTAGTGGACTTACCTGACACAGGAGCGGGGCAAGTAGCACGGGCTATGGTGAGCCCGTAGTGGACTTACCTGGCACAGGAGCGGGGCTGTAACTCCGAAACATTAGTAACAACACACCAGGTATTATTTTTCAGTTATATCTAGCTCTGGTTAGGCCCCATTTAGATTATGTAGCTCGGTTTTGGTCGCCATAATATAGAATAGACAAAAATTCACTGAAACGCGTCCAGCTAAGGACCTTGAGCGTTGAGGTGCTTCTTCCGGGGCTTAGTGTCCCCGCGGCCCGGTCGTCGACCAGGCCTCCTGGTTGCTGGACTGATCAACCAGGCTGTTAGACGCGGCTAGGATGACAAAGTTATTCCACAAATTAGAAACTTGTCATCTGAAGAGAGATTGATAAAGCTTACTTTACATTTGCTATAAAGACGAAGAGTTAAGGGGTGACTGAAGTGTACAAGTGAATGAAAAGGCACAACAGTCCACCGCGGGATCACCATAGCCCGTGCTACTTGGAACATTTTGTTCCAAGTAGCGAATATTAAACAACAACAAAAGGGATATTAATATTCATATATATCAACACAGAACTGAACACGAGGGATATAAATTTGATCAGTTTAGATTCAGGAAGGAAAGACCTGGGTAAATACTGGTTTGGAACCAAAGTTGATTTTGTGAGATAGATGACCGAGAATACATTACACCTGGGATGACTTTTGATTGTTTCAAGCGTAGGTTAGACATATATATATGAGCTTGGGAGGGAATATAAATATGACCTGCCTGGAATGAGGCAATAGGCCTACCATACACACACAGAAATCACAATAGCCTGATGTATCAAATGAACAAATCTACAAGGGTTGTAGGCAGCATCTGGGACCTTCAGAAGGGGCCTGGTAGCCTGGTGGATAGCGCGCAGGACTCGTAATTCTGTGGCGCGGGTTCGATTCCCGCACGAGGCAGAAACAAATGGGCAATTCTTTCATCCTGAATGCCCCTGTTACCTAGCAGTAAAATAGGTATCTGGGTGTTAGTCAGCTGTCACGGGCTGCTTCCTGGGGGTGGAGGCCTGGTCAAGGACCGGGTCGCGGGGACACTAAAAGCCCCGAAATCAACTCAAGATAACCTCAAGATAACCTTCCCAGCGTAAGTTCGAATCCTCATCACGGGTTTATGGATTTCTTCAAATAGGCTTAACTGTTATGTCCTGTGTTAATAGATTTTTAAGGTTCTTCGATTTTCTTTCTTTGTCTTGTATCAGATTACACACTTTTTTATCTTTTTAATATCTCCATTTTCCTTCTAAGTCTGTCTGTTTCCTCTTTTATTCTCACTTCTCTTCCAAGTCTCCTGATTCTCCTTGACATTTCTCTACCCTGTTTCTTGGGAAAGCGAAGCTGACCTTGAGAGGAAGGCAAGTCACTCCTGCCCTACACACACACACACACACACACACACACACACACACACACACACACACACACACACACACACACACACACACACACACACCAAAGACCAAAGAGCCAGAGCTCAACCCCCGCAAGCACAACTAGGTGAGTACACGAGGTAAGTACACACGTACACACACACACACACACACACACCACACACACACACACACACACACACACACACACACACACACACACAAGGGGGACACAGGTGGAAACTGAGTGCCCAAATGAGCCACAGAGATATTAGAAAGAACTTTTTTAGTGTCAGAGTGGTTGACAAATGGAATGCATTAGGCAGTGAGGTGGTGGAGGGCTGACTCCATACACAGTTTCAAGTGTAGATATGACAGAGCCAATAGGCTCAGGAACCTGTACACTGTTGATTGACGGTTTGGAGGCGGGACCAAAGAGCCAGAGCTCAACCCCCGCAAACACAACTAGGTGAGTACAACTAGGTGAGTACACACACACACACACACACACACGCACACACACACACACACACACACACACACACAACACACACACACACACACACACACAGACACACAGACACACAGACACACTTACACACACACACACACACACACACACACACACACACAACATCCCAGAAGACAGAGATCCTGAGCCAAAAAAAAATCAACCGTTTCGGCTTGAAAATTGTGTTTGGATATTGACAAATATCACAGCTAATTTATAGAGGATAGCGATGGATGGCGATCAGAGGCCGTCAGAGCCTCTTAAGAGGATAGTTGAGATGGATAGATAGAGAGGTTTGATGAATAGGGATGATAGGACGAATAATTTAAACGGGTTTGTCATCGCAAATGTCTATGTCAAATCCCACGTGTATTGATCCAAATCCCACGTGTATTGATCAAAATCCCACCTGTATTGATAAAAATCCCACCTGTATTGATCCAAATCCCACGTGTATTGATCAAAATACCACCTGTATTGATAAAAATCCCACCTGTATTGATCAAAATACCACCTGTATTGATAAAAATCCCACCTGTATTGATAAAAATCCCACCTGTATTGATCAAAATCCCACGTGTATTGATCAAAATCCCACCTGTATTGATAAAAATCCCACCTGTATTGATCAAAATCCCACCTTTATGGATCAAAATCCCACCTGTATTGACCAAAATCCCACCTGTATTGATCAAAATCCCACCTGTATTGATCAAAATCCCACCTGTATTGACCAAAATCCCACCTGTATTGATCAAAATACCACCTTTATGGATCAAAATTCCACCTGTATGGATCAAAATCCCACCTTTATTGATCAAAATCCCACCTGTATGGATCAAAATCCCACGTGTATTGATCAAAATACCACCTGTATTGATAAAAATCCCACCTGTATTGATAAAAATCCCACCTGTATTGATCAAAATCCCACGTGTATTGATCAAAATCCCACCTGTATTGATCAAAATCCCACCTGTATGGATCAAAATCCCACCTGTATTGACCAAAATCCCACCTGTATTGATCAAAATCCCACCTGTATTGATCCAAATCCCACCTTTATGGATCAAAATCCCACCTGTATTGACCAAAATCCCACCTGTATTGATCAAAATTCCACCTGTATTGACCAAAATCCCACCTGTATTGATCAAAATCCCACCTGTATTGATCAAAATCCCACCTGTATTGACCAAAATCCCACCTGTATTGATCAAAATCCCACCTGTATTGACCAAAATCCCACCTGTATTGATCAAAATACCACCTTTATGGATCAAAATTCCACCTGTATGGATCAAAATCCCACCTTTATTGATCAAAATCCCACCTGTATGGATCAAAATCCCACCTGTATGGATCAAAATCCCACCTGTATTGATAAAAATCCCACCTGTATTGATCAAAATCCCACATGTATTGACCAAAATCCCACCTGTATTGACCAAAATCCCACCTGTATTGACCAAAATCCCACCTTTATGGATCAAAATCCCACCTTTATGGATCAAAATCCCACCTTTATGGATCAAAATCCAACCTTTATGGATCAAAATCCCACCTGTATTGACCAAAATCCCACCTGTATTCACCAAAATCCCACCTTTATGGATCAAAATCCCACTTGTATTGACCAAAATCCCACCTGTATTGATCAAAATCCCACCTGTATTGACCAAAATCCCACCTGTATTGATCAAAATCCCACCTGTATGGATCAAAATCCCACCTGTATTGACCAAAATCCCACCTGTATTGACCAAAATCCCACCTGTATTGATCAAAATCCCACCTGTATTGACCAAAATCCCACCTGTATTGACCAAAATCCCATCTGTATTGATCAAAATCCCACCTGTATTGACCAAAATCCCACCTGTATTGACCAAAATCCCACCTGTATTGACCAAAATCCCACCTGTATTGACCAAAATCCCACCTGTATTGATCAAAATCCCACCTGTATTGACCAAAATCCCACCTGTATTGACCAAAATCCCTCCTGTATTGACCAAAATCCCACCTGTATTGACCAAAATCCCACCTGTATTGACCAAAATCCCTCCTGTGTGAATTAGGAAACTTACCATTGTTAAATCATAGATTCAGCAGTTCTCAAACAATTTTTATTTGAGATACAAATGAAAAAAATATGTATTTAGATCATTTAGAATAACCAAGAAAGCTATAATGAATTAATTTATTAATTTTATTTACAGGTGAGTGTCCCGGAGCCTAGAGTCTGCAGGTGAAGTTAATCAACAACTAGGATCACAACAACAGGAGTGACTTCAAGTACGTCAATCTTTATAGGATCTGTGTACGTTCACACACACACACACACACACACAGACACACAGACACACACACACACACACACACACACACACACACGGGAACCTGTACACCAGTTGATTGACAGTTGAGAGGCGGGACCAAAGAGCCAGAGCTCAACCCCCGCAAACACAACTAGGTGAGTAGAACTAGGTGAGTACACACACACACACACACACACACACACACACACACACACACACACACACACACATACACACACACACACACACACGCAGCCCCAGCATGGAGTCCATATCTTGTCAAGCATAAGACTAAACTGGAAAAGGTTCAAAGGTTTGCCACCAGACTAGTACCCGAGCTGAGAGGTATGAGCTACGAGGAGAGACTACGGGAATTAAACCTCACTTCGTTGGAAGACAGAAGAGTTAGGGAGGACATGATCACCACATTCAAGATTCTCAAGGGAATCGACAGGGTTGATAAAGACAGGCTGTTTAACACAAGGGGCACACGCACTAGGGGACACAGGTGGAAACTGAGTGCCCAAATGAGCCACAGAGATATTAGAAAGAACTTTTTTAGTGTCAGAGTGGTTGACAAATGGAATGCATTAGGCAGTGATGTGGTGGAGGCTCACTCCATACACAGTTTCAAGTGTAGATATGATAGAGCCCAATAGGCTCAGGAACCTGTACACCAGTTGATTGACGGTTGAGAGGCGGGACCAAAGAGCCAGAGCTCAACCCCCGCAAACACAACTAGGTGAATACAACTAGGTGAGTACACACACACAAAACTTACATAAATCTTTCAGAAACTTGAAAAAAGATTTCGAACCCATATATACAGCAAAGGTGATATCTACTTTACAATATGCAGCCCCGGCATGGAGCCCCTCATCTTAAAAGGGACAAAAAAAATCAAAAGTCCAAATCCACGCAACGAGCCTAGTTCCAGAGTTGAAGGGACTAAGCTACAAGGAAAAACTTAGAAAACTGCATTTCATTCACAACTGATCCATCAAAGCCCCGAACCCAGTACCACAAAGTCACAAGTCTGTAGTTCTACCGTCCAGGCTACTAAACATCCACCATATGAAAGGAACTCTCAGAGACATGTAACTGCTGTCAAACTGAAACCTTAAATCCTTCCTCTGGTGTATTACTGGAGTTTAGAGATATTAGGTGATCCACACAAGTGGATTTACGCCCCTGGTGGATCTGGGGAGTGGATTATCTAATTAATACCTCTATACTTATGGAGGCATGTGCTCTGTCAAGCAACAGCTGTCAAAATTATGTCAAGGAACCGCTGTCAGAATTATGTCAAGGATCAGCTGTCAGAATTATGTCAAGGATCAGCTGTCAGAATTATGTCAAGGAACCGCTGTCAGAATTATGTCAAGGATCAGCTGTCAGAATTATGTCAAGGATCAGCTGTCAGAATTATGTCAAGGATCAGCTGTCAAAATTATGTCAAGGCTCAGCTGTCAGAATTATGTCAAGGCTCAGCTGTCAGAATTATGTCAAGGATCAGCTGTCAAAATTATGTCAAGGAACAGATGTCCCAACCCAAGTTTCTCGACTTTCCATCCATTGTAAACTACTTTACGATATCCGGATATCTTAAGGTTTGACAAAGAAGCTGCCGTGACTATAAATCAAGATAACCAAACTGTTATCTCAATGTAACTTTATACGGCTTCAATAAACCAGATAGCGTTGGGTTTTTTCGCTGTCAAATCGTGTACAATTTTTTAAAATATATTTTCATGGGTTACATTCCTCTTCTCAATTGGCAGTATTTAAGGTGTGTGGGTCATACGTAGGCCGTACGTGGTAGGTTTTTTGGAGTGAAAGTGATCTTTGGTCGTGAGAGGATGTGCTGTGCGTGTTGAGTGTGCATTTAAATTGTTAGTCCGTAAATGGGGCTTTGTTACGAGGAAGGATACGGCTGGACAGTATTTACGAGGATCTCCAACTGCTGGACGGTATTTATGAGGTTCTCCAACTGCTGGACAGTATTTACGAGGATCTCCAACTGCTGGACGGTATTTATGAGGTTCTCCAACTGCTGGACAGTATGAGGTTCTCCAACTGCTGGACAGTATTTATGAGGTTCTCCAACTGCTGGACGGTATTTATGAGGTTCTCCAACTGCTGGACAGTATTTATGAGGTTCTCCAACTGCTGGACAGTATTTATGAGGTTCTCCAACTGCTGGACAGCATGTATGAGGTTCTCCAACTGCTGGACAGTATTTATGAGGTTCTCCAACTGCTGGACAGTATTTACGAGGATCTCCAACTGCTGGACAGTATTTACGAGGGTCTCCAACTGCTGGACAGTATTTATGAGGTTCTCCAACTGCTGGACAGTATTTATGAGGTTCTCCAACTGCTGGACAGTATTTATGAGGTTCTCCAACTGCTGGACAGCATTTATGAGGTTCTCCAACTGCTGGACAGCATGTATGAGGTTCTCCAACTGCTGGACAGCATGTATGAGGTTCTCCAACTGCTGGACAGTATTTATGAGGTTCTCCAACTGCTGGACAGTATTTATGAGGTTCTCCAACTGCTGGACAGTATTTACGAGGATCTCCAACTGCTGGACAGTATTTACGAGGGTCTCCAACTGCTGGACAGCATGTATGAGGTTCTCCAACTGCTGGACAGTATTTATGAGGTTCTCCAACTGCTGGACGGCATGTATGAGGTTCTCCAACTGCTGGACAGCATGTACGAGGTTCTCCAACTGCTGGACAGTATTCATGAGGTTCTCCCGCTGCTGGACACCTTTTTTGACCAGAAGAGTTGTGGCTGTGTTGATGACTTCAAGGTGGTTACTGCAAGATTCAGAGACTCTTAAAGCTCTTCAAAGGTCGTTGGTTGTTGCACAGTCCAGGCGATAGTGAAGTAGTGGCTTTTCTGTGACAGTTTGGCAAAAGATGTATTCCCTCTGGGTTAACCAATCTCCCAGTTGCATCTGTAACCTAGACGTAGCCTATATAACCGAACTGCTAATTTCCCTGTGGATTCCTTTTGGGATATTTAACCTGTTAACTACTCAAGGCGTTCAGCTACAATTGTACTCATTCACACTAAATAAATTACGAATCATCCATACAATAAACGAATCATTGTATGGATTGTAAATACTGTCCAGCAGTTGGAGAACCTCATAAATACTGTCCAGCAGTTGGAGAACCTCATACTAAGTGAACGATGAACTATACAATTAACCTAAAATCATCCTAATTCATCACTACACAAAATACAGCCTATTGTCTGAACATATTGGGCTCACAAAAGCCAGTGTCATATATTCATTCGTAAAAGCCTAATTTAGGGAGCCGGTGGCTGAGTGGACAGAACACTGGACGCGTGATCCTGTGGTCCCGGGTTCGATCCCGGGCGCCGGCGAGAAACACTGGACAGAGTTTCTTTCACCCTGATGCCCCTGTTACCTAGCAGTAAATAGGTACCTGGGTGTTAGTCAGCTGTCACAGGCTGCTTCCTGGGGGTGGAGGCCTGGTCGAGGACCGGGCCTCGGGGACACTAAAGCCCCGAAATTATCTCAAGATATAAAAATAGAACTCTGACTTGGACATGCTCGAACCCCACGGCGTATGCACTCAGCCTTGAGTGCATACACTCAGCCTTGAGTGCATACACTCAGCCTTGAGTGCATACACTCAGCCTTGAGTGCATACACTCAGCCTTGAGTGCGTACACTCAGCCTTGAGTGCATACACTCAGCCTTGAGTGCGTACACTCAGCCTAGAGTGCATACACTCAGCCTAGAGTGCATACACTCAGCCTAGAGTGCATACACTCAGCCTAGAGTGCATACACTCAGCCTTGAGTGCATACACTCAGCCTTGAGTGCATACACTCAGCTTGAGTGCATACACTCAGCCTTGAGTGCGTACACTCAGCCTTGAGTGCATACACTCAGCTTGAGTGCTACACTCGAGTGCATACACTCAGCCTAGAGTGCATACACTCAGCCTAGAGGCATACACTCAGCCTAGAGTGAGTGCATA